AGCTCTTCAGCTCAAGGCGGGCCCTCTACCACTTGAGCCACAGTGCCACTTCCAGTTTCTGATGGTTAGTTGAAGGTAAGAGTCTCATGGATTTTCCTGCCCAGCAGGCTGGCTTTGAACTGTGATACTCAGATCTCAGCCTCCTCAGTAGCTAGGATTACAGCCATGAGCCACTGGCGCCCAGCATGATCAGAGTCTTAACAGACTTTCCTGCCCAGGCTGGCTTTGAACCTTGATCCACAGATCTCAGCTCCTGAGTAGCTGGGATTACACGAATGAGTTAAAAGGCCAGCTTCTATCCTTAACTCCCCAGCCCGGACTCCACACCCCACTGAGGCACAGTGCAGGATGGCAGTCTCTGTTTGAGACGGATGAGCAAGCTGGAGAGACGGGAAGGCCAGCATGGCCCCTGCCACCCGCCAGCCCAGGGGACTCACATGATGTTGGCCTTGTGCACAGCCGTGACGTTGCTGCGGCGGTTGTTGCGAGCATACTCAAAGGCGAACTCCGCGATGCGCTTGCTTGCGCCCTCGGTGATGAGCTTGATGCTCTGCACAACTCCATCCACGATCTGAAAGGGGAGAAGCTCTGCTCATTGGAGGAGGGGTGGCTAGCTCAGCCCACAACCATGTGAACGGACACAGCCTCAACTCCTCACCTGTCTTGGGGAAACTGTGCCACCGAGAAGCTGAGGAACAGTCCCAAGTGCGAAGACAGTAAACCCAACCCCACCAGGAATAAAAATGTATCTGAAGCCAGGCACTGGTGGCTCACACCTGTCATCCTAGCTCCTCAGGAGGCTGAGATCTGAGGATCACAGTTCAAAGCCAACCTAAGGCAGAAAGTCTGTGAGACTCTTATCGCCAATGAACCACCAAAAAGCTGGAAGTAGAGCTGTGGCTCAAGTGGTAGAGCACCAGCCTTGAGTGAAAAAGCTACAAAACAGTGCCCAAGCCCTGTGATCAAGCCCCCCACCCCCACAACGCCTCCCTCTGAAAGAAGAAAGTGAGCTTACCACATGCTCAATGCCACTGTACTCTCCTTCCGTGTTCTCTCGAATGGTGACGATGTTCACATCCGTGTAGGGCGTTCTATAGCCTTCAATGGACACGCACGGCCGGACATTGGCGTAAAGGTCAAATGTCTTCCGCAGCAGTAAATTCATAGATGGGTGACCTGCCGCTATTGGAGTCTTCAGAGGGCCTGGGAAAGACAAGACCCAGGGGACATCTGGCCTCATGCCCCCAAGCCCCCCTGACAACCATGGTGTGCTGGACCTGGCCCTCCCACCACTTCAATTGGAGAAGGCAGCTTTCCAGAACGCTACCCGCATTTCTCTTCTTGACAATGACCAAGTATTATAGCAGAGCCCTGGCGTCGGCTCACCCTTACTACCGCCCGAGCGGGGTCAGTTGAAAAAGGGATTAATTTACAGGCTCATGCCTATAATCCCAACTCCCCAGGAGGCAGAGATCTGAGGACTGCAGTCCAAATGAAGCCAGCTAGAATAGGAAAGTCTGAGAGACTCTTAGCTGCGATGAACCACCAAAGAGCTGCAAGTGGAGCTGTGGCACAAGTGGTAGAGAGTCAGCTTTGAATGGAAAGCTTAAGGGACAGTGACTAGGCTCTGAGTTCATGCCCCAGTACTGGGGGGCAGGGGGGAGTGAAGAAGCTAAGGCACCCATGGCCCACACCTACAAATCCTAACTACTCAGGAGGCTGAGACCTATAGGCTTGCCACTTAAAGCCAGTGGTTCAAAGCCACCCAGGCAGAAAAGAGATGCCATCTCCAATTAACCAGTAAAATACCAGACTGGAGGCATGGCTCAAATGGTAGGGCATCAGCCATGACAAAGAAAGCTGAAGAAGAGTACAAGGCTCTGGATTCAAGCCCTGGTACTGGCAGCCCCATACCCCCAAAATAGGAAGATAAAGTAAAACATAAATCTAATGAAATATAAGCAGATATTGTCAGTTTGTATTGGCCAGTAACCCGTTAATGTTTTACTAAAACTTGAAAAAGAACATTCTAAAGAAAATATAAAGCATGCTGAGCTGTGTTTGGTGGTGCAGGCCTATAATCCTAGCACTGAGGAGGCTCAGGCAGGAGGATTTAGAGTTCAAAGCTAGCCTGAATTCTCAAAGACAACAGACACAGGGGGTGTCAGTAGTTGAGCCAGTGGTTTACATATGCCATCCTAGCTACTCTGGAGGCTGAGATCTGAGGATCCAAGTTCAAGGCCAGCCTGGGCAGCAAAGTTCATGAGCCTCATCTCCACCCAAAAGCCAGAAGTAGAGCTGTGGCTCAAATGCTAAAACACTAGGCTTGAGTAAAACAAACTCAGTGCCCAGGCCAGGAGTTCAAGCATGAAGACAGGTAGGCATGCATGTACACACGCACATACACATGCACACACACACACACACACACACACACACACACACACAGAGTCAAACACACAGGTAAACAGTATGCAGCTATGAGTAGTTACTTCATAAAAAGGATGAAAGCTGCCTTGACTTTGATAGACTGCCAAACCTTATTTAACTTCCACATTTGGACTTTGGAAAATTGAACCTCGGGAGCAGAAATCAATAAAGCCACGCCCCTGGCAGCACTACCTTTCAGGCCCATCTTGTTCTTATCCATGGACTCCTTGGCTTCCGGAGGAATCATCCACTTGCCCCCTGGGCCTTGGATGGCGGTGACATTCCGCTCCTCCCACTGGATGGGAGCCTAGAGGACAGAACCCAAGACAACACTGGCATTGACACACCCATCCTTAAGTTCACGCCTCCATACAACTGGTCAAAACATGCACATGGGGGCCCAGAAAGGCCCTGGTGTGCAAGAAGAGGGGTCATCCTTGCATGCGACCAGGACAGCTCCCCAGATCATCTTGACCCCGCTGTCACTCCAGGCTGTCACCTGTCCCCTCGTTTTCTTCACACAGACTCTTAAGGTGGCTATAATTAGAATATGAACAAGCAGGAAAGAAATAAGAGTTCAAGAAACCATTTCACAGTACTGGTACATACATGAACCTTGAAAACACTAAGCCAGACGGGTGCTGATTGCTCACACCTGTAAATCCTAGCTACTCAAGAGGCTGAGATCTGAGGGTCGTGGTTCAAAGCCAGCCTGGGCAGGAACGTCCATGAGACTCTATTTTTTTTTT